TCTCTGAGAATTGCTTCCCCAATTTTTCTCCGTTCCACTTCAGCCCGGAAGTTATGAGATCCGACACTACGGACCAGCTAAGTGGGTCAGCACGTCGGTTGAATCCATGGACTGGGATTCCGCCGTCCAGGCTGGCTTTACAAAACTCAACAGCTACATTGAAGGCAAAAATGAGAAAGGTGAAAGCCATTGACCTTGAAATTATGTATTATTGTGGGTGAGTCCTATGGTACAGTGGTGAATTTTCCCTTATTAAAGAAAGATCTTAATTAAAGAAATATAACCAAAAATAACCGCATTATCAAAGGCTTAATGCTTCAACAGACACATGGACCCTCCTCAGGTTGGTTAGCTCCCAGGAAGGTAGTTCTTGGAAGTGCCCCAGTCTTAGTTTTTCTCTTTGCTTCTACAAGATGAACTGGGGCTCCTGGGGATGAGATCACATGGTGATCATTGACCCCTCCTTTTCATGGCTAGTGCTTCCAGATCCTTTGATGGCTGAGACAAAGGACAGAAGCTCAGGAGTCTCATAATATAAGCTCTGTATCTGTTGCTACCTGTATTTGAGCAGGTCAGTTAGCTTAGGGGACTCTAGTGGCCTCCTCACTGCCATCAAGCTGATGATCCTAATCATTAAATAAATCAATAAGGAACTGGATTGTGTGATCTCTCATTTCCCTTCCATCCCCCAAATGGTAGGCTCAATTAGTCCAAAAGTATCAACAGCACCAACCACGTATAAATGTGGTCAGAGGGTGATGGCTTAATATTGGCCTTATATTTTCGCAAAGGTGAAATGGTCTGAAATAATTGTGTCCATACTATAAAGTAAAACAAAGTCCAATAAACAATAGCAGGCTGAATGAAGTGATCAGAAGCAGAAGTCAACCTGCTGTCATTCTCGCCTTTGTATTTAAGTATGTGTTTTCTGAACAGAGATGAAAATACAGATGACAGCCCCAGTGACAAGCTACGTGGAGCCAGGGTCTGGCCCTTTCAGTGGGTCTACCATTACCATTTCCCTGTATATCCCTGCTGAGCAGCAAGCCGATCCGCCCAGGCCTTCGGAGTCAGATGTCTTCATTGAAGACAGAGCCGAAATGACTGTGTTTGTACGGTAAGTGGTGGATAATTTATAGTCCTGCCGACTGCTCGGTTGACTTGTAGCTCCCATGCAATTTCCGCAGGCTTTTCACCTTCCAGAACCTTTGTTCGAATGCATTTCTTGGTGTCTGCCTGCCTGCCGAGTCACGTAGGCTACTCATCCTACAAAATCTAATCTGAAATGAGAAGAATATTGAGTACCTTCCTGATGGAAGACAAAATACAGATTATATACAATGACCTTGTACGACTGTCCTCACTTGCAATCCAGCTAGGCCTGAAAGAAGTACCTTCAAACACAGGACATGTAGGTTAGCGGCATTCCGGATCGTATCTTCTCTTGGCTGCTGCCTTTCTGCCTCCCCTGCTCCACCGGCATGGTAAGCTGACGCTCTTCTCCTTTCTCAACCTCCATGTACCCTTGAACGGTCACAGCCTGGTACAGTACCCACCATCTCCTTGGAAACGCCCTGGCCACTTTGACTAGTGCCCTTCCACTTGCCACATGATTTGGGTCCTCTCCCACGTGGCCCCTGCAATATCTGTGGGTGGAGCTTCTGTTCCCTTGATGCTTGTTCGTCCTTGAACGTTGAGAGTGACATGCTCTTGTCTCTCTCCTCCTGGTGCTTCTCTTCCACGACCCACCCAAGGAGTCACGGTGGCTGTCCCAGGCCTGACCCTCCTTCCCTCAACTACCCGTGTCTAAGGCCTCTCAAGCCTCACACATGGCTGCAGCTCTGGATCCCCTGCTTGTTGAGCATCTCCGTTTAGGGAAGCATCCTTCCCCAACTGCCCAATCCTTCTCTGCTCCTTGGTTCTGGTCTCAATAACGGAGATGGCTAGCCCAGGAAGGTCTTCATCGACATCCTCTTCCCTGGTAACTGGCCCCCATTCCCCGTGGTGATGGTGATTTCCTCCTCGGGACATTCAGGTCATCTGTGTGGCTCTCAGTGCGTAGCCCATGCCTGGCACTCGGCGGGTATTCAGAGGTATACTGATCTACATGGAATTCTTTGCACAGCAACAACCGCTTACCTGTCCTTGCTGCTACCAGTCCTTCTTGCTCCCCGCATCCTGGAGCCGTGTGATCTTCCTTACCACCGCCACCCCAACATGTTCCACATCCGAACAATCTCTGCTGGCATCCTCTTGCTTCCAGGGTGAACTCCAGATTGTTCGCATGGGGCACGAGGCCCTTCTTGTCGCCTGAGCTGTTCTCCACTGACTGGCCTATCCATCTGGTCATGCCACATTCTTCCACATCTGTTTGGTTACCTTTGACCGAGGAGCTGGGGGTGCAGAGGTTACGTGCTGTTGGCAAAGGGGGCCATGGGACACCCCTCCCCCCCTAGCCTCTCTGTGGGAGAAAGACGTGGCCATCTGCTTACAACCACCCTTACTGAGTGGGCAACCCTAGTGGGTAAGGGGGCCAGTTCTATTCTGCCCTCCCTACAGGGTCAGCCTGAATTGGAAAGGATGGCAGGGGGTTCCTTATTTTACCTTTGAGACCAAACAAGTCACTCAGGTTTTCCTTGCTTAAAACATATACCGTATTTTTTACATAAATACCATGCACCTCATATGGATTTTTCCCCCAAGCTACACGCTTCTCACGCACTGGTTTCCTATACATGTGCACTTTATGCAGCGGGTGTGTCATAGGTGAAAATGTGGTACTCATACCAGTACCCTTTGCCGGAGAGTGGACTCTTAACTCCCGGTGACCATCCGGGTGCAGAGGAGAACTGTACTCCACTGATTTTTCGGGGCTGTGATTTTAAGAAGTAAATCACCGGGCCTTTCTTCTGAGGTACCGCTGGGTGGGCTCAAGCTCTTGGTTGGTAGTCAAGCGTTTAATTGACACCCGAGGACTCCTGTCCGATGAGAGCTGCCAGGAGGGTCGGATGCGTCATTTACATGCTACTTCGGATAGGCACTTGGCCGATCCACTGGCTCTAGCTCTTCTTTTCTGCTCTTTGTAGAAAATCTGTGTTCATCCTTTGCAGAAAGCCTGGTTTCATCCTGCAGGTGCTTACAACGACTGCTAGTACCTTCCCCCCTGTTCTTGCAGGTGCCCATGCCTTCTGCCCTGACTGCCACCGAGTGTCAAAGTATAGTGACCTATTTCTAGACTGTTAGGAGCCCTGGTGGCATGGTAGGTTAAACACGGGGCTGCTCACTGCAAGGTGAGCAAAATCCACCTGCTGTTCCGTGAGAAATAAAGGAGATTGACTGCTCTTATAGAGATTCGCAGTCTGGGGAACCCTAGGAGCAGTTGTTTTCTGTTCTCTGGAGTGGCTGTGAGTTGGAATTGACTTGAGGCCATGGGTTAGGGTGTTCTTTTAGACTGCGTTCCTCAGGCGTGGATGAGCGTCTTACAGTGTGCATGGCCTTTAGCCCCCAGCTCGGCCGGCACTCCGTGGGGCTCGGTGCTTGTTTGTGGGCTTGTGTTCGGCTTGGTTTTCTGGAGGAACAAAACCAGGACACTCAGCTATGCATCAGAAAGAAATTTATCTCAGAAAAGAAATGTCTGTGAAGAAAATGGCCCTCCAGCCTCAGACTCCAGTCTGTGGGGCAGATGCTAGCGGGAGCCCCTTCCTGACTCGTGTCACTGCTAAGTAAGACTATGCTAACTGCAGGCTGATGGGGGCAGAGTTGAGTGGAAGCAAGGTAGGGAACGGGTGACCACCAGCCCATGTCCCAGAAAGCAGAAGCAGGATCCACGCCAGCAGGGGGAAGGAAAAAAGAGAAAACTTCTCTTTATAGATATCTAATAGGCCACCCCCACCCCTCCCCAAAGAGACAGGGTCAGGCTGAGGCCAGATGAGAGCTTGCCGAGTGGACACACAACCGGATAAAGCGAGGGCTTCCCTCAGTGCAGCCTAACACATGCCGAGAAGACCAGCAGTTTCTTATAGAGGCGTTCAAGATTTGATTTCAAAGAGGAGATGGGATCTGAAAATCAATTTCCTTTAGGGACAATGCACGAAAATATGGTTCATCATCCAGAAATAAGGAATCACAGTGTTTCTCAACCACTAGTCCAGGTTTCCTCAACCCACTGCCATGTTTGGTGGTACACACACATCCAAACAGGCCTTGACTCAACAGGGATTAGAAGGGCACTCCACATCATGAGTCCTTAGATGTTGCGAATGGCTCAAGGCTCTGCTGCTAAGGGAAAGGTTGGCGGTTCAAGGACACTCAGAGGTGCCTTGGAAAAAAGATTAGGAGAGCCACTTCTAATACATCAGCCTCCAAAGACCCATGAAGCAGAGTTCTACTCGGACCCCCGTGGGCTTGCCATGAGTCAGAATTCACTTGGTGGCAACCGGTGTTTCTGTTTTTGCTTTTCATATGTATGCCACGGATGATGCTAGGCACTGGGTAGATGTCGTTGAATGAAAGAGGCATAGTGCGTGCCTTGAGTGCTTGTACTTGATTGGAAGCATAAGGCCAGGCTGATCTTTTTCAACGGCACGTTGCTAACAAAACTTACACTCAACAAAGAAAATGAGGGCTCTTTTTGTTTCTACGTTTCTTCTTAACCTTCAGAATGGAAATCACGTGGTTAACATGTAAGCAACACCGCCACATCAGTGTCTTGTCCTGGTTTAATCTTAGCATATTCCTTTGAACAGACTTACAATCTGCGCTTAAGCTTTTGATAGTTCCCCTCACACATTCTCAGTGTCAACCTTTTAACTGTTTTGTCTGCCCCGTTCCTAGACCAGCCTCCTGACTGCCGCCCGCATTTGGCCTCTCCCTGGCCATCTAGTTTCCCATCTCCCCCGCCATGTTCTGTCCAGATCGGATCCGGTTACTTCCCTGCTCAGCAGCCTTCAGAATAATGGCAAAAGGCCGTATGATGGGATACAAGCTTCTTCCATTGGCTCGGACTCATTTTCTGGCCTCACTTTGAATATACTTTGTGTTTGGGGACACCCGTGCCTTGTTGGATTAACCATTGTCCCCTCCTTGTTGGAGCCGTCCCCTCTTTCCAGCAAAACCGCCTGCTGGCTTTGACAAGCGCCCCTTCCTCGGACTCAGCCCTCTCGATGTCCCTGCAGCACTTAGACCCTACTGAGACCCAGAATAGAGCGGCCGAAACGCGGGCCTCTTCCATTAAACCGCAACCTTGCAGAGGTCAGAGCACCCTCATTTCCATCTGTGGTCCAGTGCCTACCCTTTTCCCGAGGAGAGGAAGAAGGGGGAACGTTCGATAGAAAAATCAAGAGTCTGGAAGGGGGCTCTGTAAGCGGATGACCGTGGCTCCTCATTAGCCCTGGCCCCTTCTGTTGACAGGCAGATGCTCCGGCCCTTCCCCAGCTCTCCTGAGTCTGCAGTTCAGCAAGATCCCAGGCGACTTGTGTGCATGGTACCTTGAGAAGCACAGGGTTGGAGCGCCTCAGAAAGCATCCCTGGCAACAGAGGGGGACACACGCCCCTTGCTGGGCCTTCTGGGTGTGTGTGAGGCTCCATGGGGGGTGGGAACTGAGGACGGGAGGGGGTAGCTCTGAAAGGGCTGCATACAGCTTTCCCGGTAACCACCCTGGCTTTTCCTTGCGGCCTGGCCTCCACTGCGGTGTTAGCATCCTCACCTGGGCTGACTGGCTTTCTCCTCCGCAGGTCTTTCGATGGATTCTCCAGTGCCCAGAAGAACCAAGAGCAACTCTTGACGTTAGCGAGCACGCTGAGAGAAGAAGGAAAGGTGTTCGATGAAAGGGTTTACTACACTGCGGGCTACACTAGCCCTGCTGAATTGCTTAACAGAAATAACGAAGTGTGGCTGATTCAGAAAGGTGAACCCTCCAAAGCGAGCGAAGGAGAGAAGAAGGCTCCGTAGCCAGGGCGAGAACCCCCATTTCCCAGCGCCATCGACACCACCTACAAATAAAGTGTCCGTCTCCTGCTACGGCTTATTTCCAAGGTGGCTCGTGACTGCCTGGGGCTTCCTCCAGAGTCGCAGGTAGGATCACGGGGAGTGCAGTCTGCATATCTGGGTCCAGTGTCCGTCTGTGGGGGTCCAGGGAAATAGGCTGATTTCTTTCCCCTTCTTTCCTTCATCACGGTGCAGTTGGAAATTATCCTCGCCAGAAAGTATCAGTACAAAATGCCAAGGTTTATCCCGTGTGAAACCAAAAGGCAAGTCCAACTGGCTACAAAATTCAAATCGTCTCTAATGACTGCTGCTGCTCACACCTCTCTGGGTCCTTCTCCCACCCCCCACCCCCACCCCAACACGGACCAAGCCGACTCGCTCCAAACCTGAAGTATCCATACTGTGAGGGGACTTCAACAGTGAGAACACAGGGGCACTGTTCAAAGCCCTCTATGAAATGATGGCGAGGAGCCTGGTGGTGTCGCTGTGACCGTTGGACTGGTAACTGCCAGGCTAGAGGTTCGAAACACCCGCCACTCCCTGGGAGGAAGATGAGGCTTTCTACTCCCTTAAAGAGGTACAGTCTCAGAAACCCACAGGGACAGTTCTTCCCTGTCTTAGAGCAGCGGTTCTCAGCCTGCGACTCGTGACCCCTTTGGGGGTTGAATGACCTTTTCACAGGGGTCGCCCGATTCATAACAGTGGCAAAATGACAGTGATGACGTAGCAACGAAAATAATTTTATGGTTGGGGGGTCACCACCACATAAGGAACTGTATGAAAGGGTCACGGCATTAAGAAAGTTGAGAACCACTGTCTTAAAAGGTCGCTATGAGTCGGAATCAACTCTATGCCAGTGAGTTATTGGCTGGTGGAAGATGCTATTTGATGCTAAGAATTTCTTCTGTTATGACATCCTAAAAAGCATGTTTCTTTGAAGAAATGCACATACTCCTACACTCGGAAAAAGCCACTTGCGTGTGAACAATAGATTATTTCTGAAGGGCATGTAGAAATGATGGGTTAGCCAAAGAGTGGGCTGCTGAAAAGTCAAGGTTGTGTTGGGAAATGCTTGTCCTAGAGACGACAGAGCCATGTGCAGGCATCAGGGAGCCTGTCCCTGGGGAGGACACAGCCTTGGCTGTGGGTGTGGAGGCTGAGGGTTGAGGAGTGGGGACGCAAGCAGGCTGCAGCTGTCACTTTCCGACAGCTGTCGCTGAAGCATGGCTGGCTGCTTGGGATTTTGGGGGGAACCCATGTGCTGTCACTAGTGAAAAACATTCTGAAGGAAATGAAAATTTTATTTTTTATTTTTATTGAACTAGTAGGACATGTACATTCCAAGAGGTCTCTCTGGTTCTTTAGGTGGGCGTAAGTACTAAGGATGAGGCCTATTTTGTTAGCTGCTTAAGCTAGACCCCACCAGGTGGCAGGATGTGCTAAATGTGGGATAGCAGCTTCCCACTGAACCCAGACCCACTACTGCTGAGTCAGTTCCAACTCATAAAGGACCCTATAGGACGGAGTTGATCTGCCCCGTGGGATTTCTGAGGTTTTGTAAACCTTTACAGGAACAATCTTATTTTATGCTTTAGAACTGCTGGTGGGTTTGAACTCCAAACCTTGCTGTTAGCTGTCCAGTGTTTACCCAACAGCACCATCAGGTACCCCAGGGTTTCCAAAGCTGTACATTTTTTATGGAAGCAGGCTGTCACCGCTCTCTCCAGTGAAGTGACTGGTGGGTTTGAACTGCTGGCTTTTCGGTTAGCAGCCAAGCACTAAACCACTGTGCCACCAGCCATCCATCCGTTAACCCTCAACCCCCAGAACAAATCCACCTCAACCCCCAAAGCAAATAAAATTGATTGCAACACACAGTGGCCCCTGTAAGACAACATACAACTGACTCTTAAGTTTCCTTGAACTGTAACTCTTGGTGGGTATAGACAAGCTGATTTCTCTCCCATGGAGTGGCTGGTGGGTTTGAACTACTGACTTTGATGTTAGCAACCCATCACTTTTCCACCAGGTGTGCCACCAGGTCTCCTAGACTAAATAGAGGCGGCGGCTGTGTGTCCCAGGCCAAAAGGGTTAAGTAGGGACCTCATGATCGCTTACCCAGAAAAAATCACTGCCATGGGATTGATGCATTCAGTGGAAGGGAGGATGGGCCAGAAAATACTTAAGCATCTCTTTAGCCCTAAGATTATATAACTCTGAAATTTAGTCTCCTTAAGCTGGGGTGCATGAGC